GCGTGCGTGCTGTGTTCAGATGCTAGGCGCCGATTTCGTCTTCCCCGCTCCACGCCAGTTAAGGCCGTACCGCAGACACGACGCCCACTGATGCGGGAAAACAAACATATGTCCGTCTTCCAACAAGGGACGAAGCCTCAGAACCAGAACATATAATGCACTGCGCGCCTGTTTGCCTGGCGGCTTCTGCAGCCCGATGGACGAGCGCAGCGTTAGTGGACGGCCTCCGCCGCTGTGAAGACGGGAGGTGTCGATACAGTGGTGCCAGGATGGCTGCGGCGTTAGTGAACGGTGCTCACTGCCGTGATGGCAGCAAATCGCTGCTTTGTGTCTGCATTTGGAACCTGTTTAAGATGTGTCACGCTGGAAAAAGCCTGCCGTGATGGGGACATATTTTTGGGAATTTTGTGGCGGCGACCAGCGAGGCAACGTGTGCCGTAGAAACCTTATGCTATGATCCACATCCGCGTTTTGAGGCCAATACTGTGCTTCTTGATAGGCGGGTGGGTGCGATCTCCTATAACGGCTTCTGAGAATAGCTTACTTGCATACGGTGTTATTACGACTGGATGGTCAGTAGCCTCTGGGAAATGTATGCTAAAAGGCCCGTCTCTAGCGTTTCTCGTTTATCGTTTTAGAACACCGCACGGGCATCTACGGCCGGCACGGGCAACGGGCAGCGAGCGGCAACCGACGAATCCGCCGGCACTGAAAATTTTGACTTTTCACCCGCAATGACCGTCCATGTAGGACCCATCTACAGCAAAGTTATATGGTTTCGACCACCTTTGTTGGGTGAGAATGACGCTTTCGCCACCAACACATGCTCAGTTAACGTTGGCTCACTGTTACATTCGCGCGCGACCCTCGATAACCACCTTTCCGCTAGCCCCTCACATTTGGTTGTGTAGAGGTTATGCGATAGTGATGACAACACACTGACTTCTTCAAACAAAAGAACTACAGTTGCTGCGCTCTTACGGCCTCCATTATAGTCGTGGTGCACCTCCACGGGCTGGATGCTTGACAACACGGTGAGTGTTTCGGTAAGGTTCCTGTGAGGAGGACAATGTCAAACACAACTGCTATGTGTAAGATCTTGGGCAAAAATCTTGCACTATGGCAAATCACAGAGAAACCGGTAGAGTTAGTCCAAGTTCTGCATCACTGCAGGCGGCTTTGGGTCTGAGCACACTGGTAGTGCTCTAGATACACTGGTACTAAGTCAAGTACTAAGCTGTTTGCCAGCTCGTGCTTTGCAAGGCAGACGCACAACCAGCATGTCTCCAAATGTTTAAGAATGGGGAAACATACTGTAAACGATTTATGGGTGGTCAATGCTGTCGCAAATATAATTAAAACTTCATGAGGCGACTGCATGACAGACAGAATAGTTTTTCGTTTTTGAGGGATATGCCAGTGACGTTATGTTTGCTTTGTGTGTTGATGTATCAGAGCTGATGCAAAATACAACTATGTCGAGTCCTTTAAATGCTTTTCGGCAGCTATCTTCGCCTATGTTTTACGTGACTTGTCATCAAAATATTCTACATGCAATGGGCTACCTTCTAAAACCATTTAGCGAGGGCTTTTAAATGCGTGGCTTACAGTGCGTCGCAGGCTGTATTTTGGGGCATGCTAAGAGCGTATGTAATGTGCTGATGGAGTCACAAAGAAAATGCAGGTGATTAAGTTCTAGTCATAATAATACTAAGTTTAGTCCGAATTACCTCAACTGTAGCCCATATACGTGATTGGGTGACCAACTGTTATTGCTGTCAATAATTGTCTTTAACACCTTTTTGGTTTAATGATTCTTACACTAGACCTCACGCAATGCAGGATTACCTCGTGTGTTCTTGAACTCCACCTTCCTTTTGTGAAATTCCAATTTTCCCGGTAGAACTTAATGGACAATGTTGAATGTAGCATAATGCTTGAAACGTTTCCCCTTAGCTTCCTGGCATAGAACAGCCGATGCCACCGGCAGCAGACTGTTTAAGTTAAAGTCATTACCGAGTGAACATAGAAGCAGCCAAGACCAAGAATGCAGAGGCCCATCCCTACACCATCACTATCCTGAAGTGATAAGTTATCACTGGGATGCCCCCTCCCCTGTTTGATTATCCTGGATGCACAATTGCGAGCGACATAGCAACAAGAATCCCCATGCCGCCACGGGTAGGTTTAGTTTCGCAAGGAGCTGCTACCAAAATGAAACTACGGGTGGCTACAGGCTGTTGTTTTTGGTCACGGTTGCATTCATTCTAGTGATTGCTTATTCTCCTCCACCTGTAATCGGAGGTTTTATCCCCGATGTCTGTTCAGTTCATTATACTAAATTTTGGCTGGCACCAATGGTGAAGAACCAGCCTTCTGGCGATAAACTTGCTGTTCAGGTCGTTGATTCAGTTGATTGGGGTGCATTTTGGTGCTAAGAGTGAACATTCTAGTTTTCCAATCATTTTATCCGAAAACGAACGGTAAAGAACTAGTTAAAACATCAGAGTATCCACTTTCAGCACCAAAATATCAACCCTAATCACCAACTGAACGAGCAAGACGAAACGGCCGTTTTTCCACCACAAGGCTGGGTCATCAGGTCATCAGAATTTGGTACAGTAAACCGACCAAACATCAGGGCTCTGACTTGCAGTTACAGGTCGAAGGATATGAACAATCACCAGAAAGAGTGAGGTCGTAACCAAAAGCAGCAGCTTGTCGCCCCCCTTTAACTTGATTGGCATTAGCCCCTGGCGATCCCAAACCACCCGAGGCGGTATGAGAGTTCAAGTCGCTATGTACGCGCTCGCAAGGGCACATCCAGGATGATCAAACACGACAGGGGGGGGGGGGGGAGGCATCTCAGTGAGAACTTATCACGTAGCGGTGTTGGGGTGGGCGTGAGGTCTGCTCTCCCGATTTTGGTTGTATCTATGTCCCCTCGCTATTTGACTCCTCAATTAGATGGTCTGTGGCCGGTGGCAGCAGTCATTTAATGTCAGGGAGGTCAAAGGGCAGGGAGACCGTGCCAAGCATTACGGTACTTGCAAGTTTCTTCCATTGCGTTCTGCCGTAGAATTGGAATTTCACTTAGAAAGGTGAGGTCTCAGAGCACATACAGAAATTCTGATTTACGTGAGGTCTGACCTCGAAATCGTCGAATCAGAAAGATTTTAAAGAAAGTGATGAGAGCAATAAAATATGTCACCCAAACCCGTACATGGATCGCAGTATAAACCGCACTTAGGGTTGTCGGGCCTCTGGCTCAAACAGGCCCTGGGTCCGTTTAGGGCCTGGGCAAGTGGCTCTGAAGGTCCCAGGGTCCTGTCCTGTTCCTTCTAAGCAAAATGTGCCTGTAATCGGCTAGGAGCCCCCTGCCAACGCAGACTCTCCTGTTAAGCACCCTATGCCCTGATGCAGGGGGCCACCTTGTTTCGGGGGTCCGGCCAACGCGAGAGGGCTTCAGTTATAATCGCGGACACCGGCCTTGTCCCTACCTCGTAAATAGACCCTCAGGGTCCAAACCCACTCAGAGCCAACTCTCAGCTCTCTCAGCCAAACCCACTCAGCTCAACACTGGAGATATCTTGTTCTTTTTTCTATGCCGTTACCCAAGAACAGGCAACCAAGAGTGCCCCTCCCTCAATCCCAGCGACGCAATAAGCCGTACGTTAACACCAGAAAACATAAAATCAAGTCGCGGCACTCCCAGCTAGGAAGAGGAAACAAACGTAAAAAAGCAGGCGAAGAGGTGAAGGAATTGTGTTATGTAATGGGCAAGCAAAAATCATACCTGAGAAGGCTTAAAGTAGTCATTAGCCAAAGTCAGCTAATGACAACCCGCTATAACCGCCCAATAAGCTACAAACACTCATTCACAGTGTTAGTAAGGGTTGTACAGTCACACAAGTCGGAGGGGCCATTACCTGGTCATTTTCGTACTGGGTTTTGAGCTGGATGTTAAGGGAGTCCACCCAGCTAAGCGGAGCTTGTTACTGGAAGAACTCCCAGAGCCAGCGCCGTGAATTTCGGTACATGTGCATGGCTTTAACTATATCAGGACGTGACTATGAAACATCGAGGAGGTTAAATATGAAGTGCGTCGCATATGTGCAGCGCAAAGGATTACAATATCTTCAAATATGTTGGTTACGTTAATATGCATTCACGAAATGCTTGCGAACGATGTTCTTAACGATGGTTTTTGATGCAGAGATATTAGTTATTCTTGGAAAATATGAAACCATAATGTCTCGGACCCATGAAGACATCTTCGTCGTCTCGGGGACCCGACAAGCACGGCGTGTGTTTTTGGCTGAGCGCGACGCCTTTGCCCGGGCTCATCCCCGGCCATCCCTGCGGATACTCCAATCGGGACCTTGAAAGTCTGTACCGAGAATCCCGAAGACCACTCAGGGTCCAGCGGCAGGATATGTCCCGCGTCCCCCTCCCCCCGCCCCACCACCACCACCAGCTGGCGGTGGCCTGGAATTTTAGCTAAAAACGAGACTTAATGATAGCCAGCAACTCGCCCTCAAAACGCAACTCCGATGTGAATAATGAACCTCCGTCCAAAAGCATTCGCATGTTGATGCCAGGTTGGCTTAAAAAATGGTCGTTTTTGCTGGTGGGCTGAATATCCTAGATTTTCGTAAGCGCAAATAGCTTCTGATGGTACTTGATGATATAATCCATTATTTGATAATAAACGCAAATTTTTGATTTCCAACCACTTCTTGGTGATTTTACCTTTTGGTGGAACTTCAGCCAACCTGGTGAATGATCTCCTTTTGGACATTTCCTTCGTGTATTTGTTTTTTAAGTAGGCATTATGGTAAACGACTTCATTAAAACGGTGGCTAAGACGTCCATATTGGTGGCAATAATCCCAGCGGTGGTGGCATGTTCATTTTGGTTGTGACTGACACCATTTGGTGACATTTCCATTTTGGTAATTTCGACCTCTTTTTTGGTGGTCGGTTAACAGTAGGCATAAACAAACCGACTCTCGTGACTACTCCATGTGCAGGGACGGGGTCGCTTGATATTCGTCGTTGTTTACAGTGGTTTGAAACGAACATTGTAGGTAATTATACTCGTAAATTTGGGAGGCAGGTACTCACGTCGTTCACGACCAACATGTCTGATGTAGCAGCGATGTCACCCAATGTTTAAACAAATTTTGATGTAGCAGAGATAATGTCAAGAATGGCTACTCTGATATTTTTTCACAACAGCTCATGTAAACATGCAGGAGAATTGGACTGAATTTGTCAAACACATGCAGCGGCTAAGTGTGCTGATGCTCGGACATGTGATCTGATGTGGTTTTTGTGCAAATGTGTACCTTGTGCATATTCCTGGAAGCCTTACCTCTGTGTTGCATTTCAGGTACAGTATCTGCCGATGTCTAGTATGTCATCAATATCACTCAATGAAGATGATTATTTTGATGATATATACTGCCCAAAGGAAGATCCGCTCTACCTGGGAGGATTGCCAATTTCCATGTCTGGTAAGTCTGTTGCTATGCTAATGAATGAAAAGCCAACATTAATAACTACACTAGCACTGCCAATTTAAGAAACAAGTTTTGCTGCTGAAAGCCTCTGTATGTTGTTTTTGATGCTGGAGAGATGGCATTATTAGTATGCAGGAATAGAGGAGCTGGTTTATTTTTCTGATATCAAGAACTGCAGGTAGATGAAGACAAAACATAGCATAAACTTCTTGACACTTGGTGACAACTTAGCATGTTTTGCATCTTTCAGGACTGATCTGTTCTGTTACTGAGCCACCTTTTTATGCATTTGTTTGGCTACAAAACAAAGCTGATGCATAATTTTGACAACCCTGCCTTATTCTGTTCTATGTGCAGATGCTGAATCCATGAAACATGAACTGGACAGCAAACCTCCTGCATTCTCACTTGCACTTGGTGAAGATGACAAGGACACTGCAGATATTTCTATGGGTATGATGCTCTATTGCTCCTTGAGTTGATTATGTTGCCATGGTGGTGAGCCCTTTCAGAATCTTCTTTAATTTCTGGTCTAAACTTGCACATCCAATGAAGGTAATACAGCACTTGTCCAAGGAATTGGAGAAAGATGCTGCAGAGTTGGTCTGTTTATTTCTTTTTTTGTAAAAAACAAACTGGGAGGCAGGTGTATAGGCTTATAAGCCATGCCATGTGGAATGAGCTGGCAGGTGCAGCACAAAATGTTAAATAGACCTGTTTAAAATCACCATCCCAGTATGACATTTGATTACCCATGCCAAAAACCAAGATAATCCTGCTAGCATGGAGGAAGTTTTGCATGTGTACTTATGGGCTTTAGGTTACATTTTATGATACAACCATGCAGGTATGGCCCTGTAAACAACTTCTGGGCATAGTATGACCCAGACATTCTCATATTGTGACAATACATGGTGGTGAAGGTGTTCAAAAATTTTGCCATCTTTCATGATGTGTGGTTTACTTTCTTGTTTCATTAGAACTTGTAAATATTTTGCAAGATCTTACCGGGTGCATGTCAAGTTAGTAATGCAGAAACTGCCCGCCAGATGGCTTCACATCAGCGCCTTATCTCCCGGCGAGCCCGACGCTGCTGACTATGAAGTTCGAGGTAGAGGGCCCGCCATCGCCGCAGCCGAGCCCCTCCCTATCTCCGACTCGGGTGTCGACCCCCTCGTCGCCAACGGCGCGGCCAGCCCCGGAACAGGTAGACTGTTTTTATATATTGCTTCATTTGTGTAACTGGAGACGTGGTTGCACCAAGTGTCATGGAGGGTCAGAATCTGGACCGAGTGCTCTGTCTGGCCTGCAAAAAATAGATGCTGATCAATCAGGCTGCAAGACGTGAAATGGAATAAGTTCATGTTTGATATAAAAGGAGTGTTCCACTTTCATACGGGGTTTTCAACTGAAATAGCCATCTTAAAGATCGCCTAACGTGGTTCACAGCCTTGCCCTCTTAAAGACGTAATCCCTCTGGTCTATGAGGTGCATGCCTGAGGAAAGGTGACTATTTCATGTGGACAGTTACACTATCTCAAGGTCATTCAGGCATGCGTTAGGACATATAATTGCCTATTACCGAAAAATGGACCAGACTATAAAATACTCAGTATACTAAATAATGAAACAAATTGAGAAAAACGCCATAACCGAGTACGTGAATGCGAGTGAACACCTGAAACTCACGGGCAAACATGCAGAAACAAGATCAAAGGGGCCAAATCACGAGCACGTAACGATATTTAGTTTCACAAATACCAAGCTTCACCACGGCGACCGATCGGGAGATCAAGGTGCTACAAGTGAGCGCCAGGGTGGCAATTTTGCAAGGCTGGTCTGATAGCGCGTGAACGCTATACAAATGTTTTATGACGCAACCGAACAATTACGTATTAAGGAGCATTTCTTGCTAAATGGAGGAATTATAACACTTTGAACAGTCCTTTCCACTTAGTTTGCGAACAGTGTGATACTAGTTAAAAGTGTAATTATTCAATCATATGTGATGCTTGCTTTAATATCTTCAACGGTGGAACATTCTAAGTGGAGAGTATCACGTTTGCAGAGAAGCACAGAGCACAGTGCACGTTCGGTATCAGTTGTCACAGAAAGATGGGCTCCGACCGCTACATGCCCAAGTTGACAACGTGAGCGCCAGGTGTGGCGGCAGTTTTCATTAAATGGATTATCCCACCTTTTTGTTCTTGTCACTTGTTTTTACATCAGATGTGCACGATTCGATCAGTAATACCAGCTTTCTCGAAATCCCGAAAAGCTCAAAATTCTCATTTCAAGAACTATTGAACTCTTGAAAGTCTTGAACCCTTGAAACTCTTGAACTCTTGAAAAGAACAAGAACTCTTTGGGAAAAATCTCAATTTCCTGCTTACCACTACGAAAGTGATGCATTTAATTCGCCGTGCTTTTTCGACGTGTGTTCTGTAATGTTTACGACACACTGATGTGTCAACACGTTTGCGTAATGAATGCTACAAAAGCTTGAAACGTTCTGTTGGCTTTCAGTCGTCCCCTATATGGCATATATGGCGTTTGCGTTTACCACACCGGCTCTTTTGAATGCGCACTGCGGCTTTGGCAATGTATCACATGATCCACGTGACACGCTGGTTCACACTCCAACCAACTAGCTTCTCGGTAACGGGCACTTGCGCGCCGGGCCAATCACACACGTTCTTTTATTCTTACTAGTAAAGGCGCGCACGGTCGATGCCGTGACGACGGTGGTTGCCACTGCAGGGAAGAAGTGCAGTGCTGTTGCAAAGCATTAACAGCGTCCTTTGTGCTCGAAGATAACACGCGCTCGGGTGGGGGGTCGAATTGACCCCCCGAAGGTTTTCCCAAAATGGTTTCCGAACCGCGCGGCGAAGCCGCGACAAAGTTTGCATAGCTGTAGATAATTGAATAGCGGATCGTTTTGCATCAAACATTTTAATGTACCTTGTAAGGTCGCTGGCCTATGGCAGGTCAGAGCCAGGCCATGGTTTCAGTGAAGGCAATTTCTAGGGAATTCTTCAATCTGGTCCAACAACGGAGTGTTAGACGAAGCCATATATCTCTGAGATGCTTTCTTAGGCAACACATCAGTCGAAAGGGCAAGTTACACTGACCTAAGATCAGGTATGAAGGTCACACCAAGGTCAAAACCAACCAGTTTTGTTACTCTAGGGGCTTGCTGTATGGGATAGTTTGTGATGCTCATTTCGAATTTATTGATGGCAGGAACCGCATCATACATCTTCTATGGACTTCTCAGAGGTCAGAATAGGTCACCGACCTAAAATGACCCAGGTCAACGTTTTATTTTAGGAACATACTGCCTAGCGTTATCTTTGCCGCTTAGTCAAATGCAAAACTCAAAGCAAGCTTGTATGATTTTAGTCAGCTTGACCTTCAAAAGGTCAAGCAAGGTCACTGACCTTGAGTGAGCATGTAGCCTTTTGCTTAGAAACGGTTATATAGGTTCTGGGGGCACTTTGGAGACCAACCTGGAATTTGACTTTGTTTTAACTTTTTTACCCGAAGGTTACGATCTAGGAACCTGAAACTTTGACCTAAGTGGCTTCACGTACAGGACAACACACCCCTTAAGTTTGGTGTTTCTAGCTTGCTTAGTTCCCGAAATCTCAGGAGGGGGGGGGGCAAATTGACTCCCCCCGCCACCCGAGCGAAGGGTATCTGTCGGCCACCCGGGCGCGTGTTAAAATTGATGCCCTTATTTTGTCTTGACGGTGTCGTAATAGTACTATGCAGTGCTAGTATTGGACGCAACTAGTTCGAAGGTTTCCATTAGGTATGTAGTTGAAATGTGCCCCAAAGGTGGGACACTCCCGTAATGGTGGGCATATGTTTTAGGATCTGTTCCAGTATAGAGTGGGTTCTGGTTTCTTTCATGATATGGAAAAAATATGTCGTGGATGCGCTAATCTGTTATATATTCTTATCAGCGGAAAATAGCGTCGTACTCTCCATGATTCGTGCTTTTCATCGCCCGCATGTTTCCAAGCAAATATTAATATTTTCGTTTGCCTCTCTTACATGAAATAGCTTCAAGTTGTAAGGTACCATAATGAAAATGGACAGTTTCGCAGTTAAATCACAAAACAACTTTTGCACGCGCGCGTGCGTTTGAACGTTTTCTTGCCAGTTTTCTCGAGAAGAGACCCGAGGCCCATACACTCCCGCGATGTGAGGACTGTTTTCGGAGTGAAGACCAAAAGTCGGTTGCCGCATTGCAGACCAACTGCACGCTGTTTATATCGTCAATATAATGATTTGGCATCAATGCTTAAGAGGTCCCGACCTAACTCGTCTCATCCAACGAATGTTTGTTTTGTGATCATGTGACTTTAACCAACCTGTACAATTCCGACGGACTCATTTTCTCTTTTGCGCCTCGCTAAGTGACGCCCTCCAAAAAAGAGATAGAGCGGTTGCTATCTCTTGTTGATGATATGTCACATGGAGTGTCCGACATTTCTGGGCGAGGCGATGGTTCCAAATTGATAAAAGCGTATATTTATTTGCATTTTATAAAATATCATACCACCACGCCGATGATAATGCCGCTTGTCCGTGCAGCGTTCTGTGGTACTCATTATAATCGCGGCGGCGCTTAGCAGACTTCCTGCGCAAGTCTTGCTCTTGTTGTTCTAGTGCCTTCGAAGTCTTGGAAATTGAAGGACGTTTGAATTGCTGTGTGCTTGTGTTGACCGTGGTTCTTGGTGAGTTGGGTTTTTTCATAATGTGCTCTGTATTGTGTGCATTACGTAGTCGTACACACTGATGCCCGCAAAACCTCTGGTGGTTTAGATGGTGATGTTGGTGGCAGCCATGGTTTTTGCTTCGCTTTTCTATGCTTCGCCATCAGGCGAGTGCTAAGTGTAAGAAAAGGGTTGGCATTAGGAACTAAGAAGTTTTAGCCCTCCCCGTGATTCGCTGCTTTTACTTACGCGGCTTAACGGGAGAGGGGAGGGGGGGGGGGGGCGTGATCCCTCCTCGCCGTTTGGAATCTCAGTAAGCTACAAACTCGCGGAAAAGCAACAATAGAGGATTTCTTTCATCGAGACCTCGCGATTAGTCATGCATTTTTGATCCTATGTCAATAATTGACCCCACGATGGCAGGCCAAATGCCAATTTTCTCGAAAAGGTCAATTTTCAGCTTGACATGTTCATAGGCACGGGATCTTGGCACTTGGCATTGAAGACGCGTTCCTTGTTTGGTTCAGAGTATAACGGTACTTGCAGTTTTGTGTTGTGGGCATATTTTTTATTGTTTAGTAACCCAGCACATCCTTGTTTGATTGCGTCATGGATCGTTTGTGTGACGTTGAGGTGCTGGCAAGCTGGCTGTGCGAAATTGTCACCTTAGCATTAAATTGTACTTAAATCTCCGGTGACCGTGGTGCTACTGCGGTGTTTGGTGAGTCAAATGTCGTGATGTGCTCGCCCTTGGGCCCCGTTTCGGGTTGTTATGACATATTTTTTCCGTAAGCTTAAGGTATTAACTTGTATTCACATGCTCCGTAATGGTGCTGTTCTTAAGTTTTTCGAGTGCTGGTCTTATTTCCAGATTTGGATGACGTTATTATGGTGTCCTGGGTCCCTGGCTGACCCTGAAATAGTCTGCGCTCAATAGTGTGCACGCCTTCGCGGGGTTGTAGCTCAGAAACTAGATGGGTTCAGACCTTAAAAAGGCAGGACTGAATTTAACCGAATAATCCTCAAGTGGGCCACACCATATAAATGTATAGCGCACCGTTTGTAGGAGTGTTTCGCTTTGGTATGGGACTTTGCTCTAAGAAAGCTATGTTAAAGATCATTTAAAGCGACTCATAGCCCTGCCCTTTCATGTCTGAAAACCGTCTGGTTTTCCAGGCCAACATGATCCGATGGTCACACGAATGCTGCCACGTCACTGGCCATGTAGTGCTGAGGGCCACTGAAAATAATCAAGCTATTCGTGTCAAATGTGCGTCAGAACGACTCCTGCCTTGAAGGGCCCTGTTGGCCGTGAACCAACGTGATGCGCTTCATGACAGGTTCGAACGAGAAGTCACGTTTTGTGCAATTTAATACAGGTACCCACCTTTTACGCTTAACAGCAGGGCGACAGTCACAAGGGAGCTGATATCATCTTCTCGGGTGCGTGCCTCAATATCTTGAAATACGAAACACTCCCTCAAGTGTTCATATTGTTATTGCTTTTTAGATGTCCAAAACTTTGGAATGTTTGTTTGGAAATGATCAAACTGAAAACATGGATTTTCATCGCGCAACAGTTTAGTCTGCTGGGCATGTTCCATTCCAGTTTTTGATGTGACGATGTTTCGAGTGCATACTGATATGTTAATGACATTTTGTTGAGTCCCATCACCCAGGCATAGTTGTACAAAACGAGCGGAGGGCTAGGTGGTACCACAAGGCTGTTCGTACTAAAAGTTTTTTTTTAACTCATGGCCCCCGCAATGTGCGGGTTACAGCAGCTGAAAAGTGGCACCTCGAACCTGCAACAGCTGGCAACGGCCCTCAGCAGATTATGCCGTGGTCATGACGGCTCGGGATGCACTCTGGATCTACCAAAACAAGATGAATTGTATTGCCGTTACTTAACATTGACGGCGTGAATTGGGCGCGAAAAGATTAGGGTAGATGGTCTTCCTACATTTTGGTGATACCGCATTGGCCAGCCCAGTGCCAATATTACACGTATTTTTAAAATACGTTAAAGCGTTCCTGAGGTTTCATCGAAGCATGTAATTGAAATATGTACCGAAGGTGACACTCTTCTTTCCAAGGGTTTGGGATTTGAAGATATTTTAGCAAGAATCAGATTTGATGGGATAAGCTCAATTATAAGTATTGGTAGCTTTTAAATGGAAAAGACTTCTAAACAACACGATTTCTCTGTTAAGTAAATATGCTCCTCAATACATCGTTTGGTAACGTCATCACACTTTGCACAACATTGATTGACAGCTAGTTGACGGCCGCTATATCTTGAAATTGTGATCACGAACGCTAGATATGAACGACTTGACAGTTATATTTTTGGCCTTGATCGCTGCATGGGTACTGAAGTAACTGGATTTAATGACGTTATTATGGTGTAATGGATGCCCGGGTGACATTGAAATAGTGTTCCCGAAATAGTCTGCAGATCGTAGCGGGCGAATAGCTCAGAAGCTAAAGGGGTTTAGGTCTTAAGGACATGGCCGTGAACTGCAGCGAATAACCTTCAGAATGGTTGTTTCAGGTCAAAACCCATAAGAATGTGGAACACTCCCTTTAACTGATTGCGAAACTCACGCTCTCTGTCGGTGACTGTCTGTTCTGGATGCGCTCTGCCGTTATCAGAGAGTACCCGCTTTTTGAAGCTGCCACCTGATTGTCTTTGGATATCAGTGTGATCTTTGTATGACATAAGTTAAGATACACACACACACACATAATATACCCGCGTGTTGACATGCATGTGGAATGTCTGCTGTAGGAGGCGGCTGTCTTGGTACAAGAGGTGGCGCTTTGTTGCGTTAAGCTATTTTGTTTTATTTCTGCTGGAGTTATGACTGTATTATGTTTGTGCTGGGATCATCCGATTTAGTATTGCTCGTAGCGCATTGTGGGTTTTTCATGGATGTCTTGCTTTTGCGACTAAGTATGATGGTAGTTTTGCATGTAAAAGCATGCATTGTAATTTTGTTTCTTATTTTCACACTCTTTGTGTTATGTTCTCACTAAACTGTGTCCTGAAAGGAAGGATGCTGCCTCCTAATTTTTTAAAGAACAATAGATCTTTGGCGTGCAATTACGCCCAACTCTCGGCCATATGTGTGGCTTTACTGTATGTGTTTTGATAGCCAATACGTATTTCTGAGATTTTTGGTTCCTGAGTAGTGACATGTCATAGGAAAACCGCACGGCGAGCCACGGCCGGCGCGGGCAGCATGTGGCAACTGACGAATCCGCCAAACGCGCAGGGCGGGCCGACACTAGTAGATGAACAGCGTCTTACGTACTAAATATATGCTTAAAGGAGGTGTTCCACATGTCTATGGGATTTTGAACTGAAAAACCATCTTGAAGATCATTCGGTGCAATTTCCAGCCCGCCCCTCTTGCAGAAGGGTTTGCCAAGCGGTTTACCCTGTAGTTTACCCTGGGGTTTGCCCTGAGTGGTTAACGCTGTAGTTTTTGAGCTACACACCAGCAATGATGTGCAGACTATTTTTAAGTACTATGTCAAGGTTACCCAATCATCCATGACGCCCTAATAACGTCGTTGAAATTATGTCATTCCTTGTGGCATGCGCCAATCAAGAGCAATATAAATATGATAGTCGAGTCGTTCATATCTGGCGTTCTGTAGCACAGTGTCATAATATAACGGCTATCGCTGGGCTCTGAGTCCATGTTGTGCAAGGTACGATGGCGTAATCAAACAGTGACGTACTGAGAAGCATATTTGCTAAACAGAGAATTTATGTTGTCTTTAGCAGACTTCCACTTAAAAGTATACGAATAGGTATATGTTAGCTTGTTACATAATATGCAAAATTTGCTTCATTATCTTGAAATGCGCAAGATTCCCTGTAAAACACATAAACTTGGGCACTTTGGCACTCAGAGCTTAACCATAAATACGCTGAGGTGTCTTGAAGCCGTCACGTGGCAGGCATCATAAATGCGAGGATGGAAAGCAAAACAAGTTTTTATTTAGAACCGACGTTGGACATGGCCTTGTCGACTTGATGTTTGACGTAGCAACATAATATGTACGACAAATCGGAAGGGATCGTTGTCCAATCCACTGTTGTTGTTTCCCGCGATACCTTATCTTTCTTAGATTCGAAACGATTGAGGTGAGTTGTTGCTTCGACCCTTGTCCCCTAGCAATCCGCGCTATAAAATGTTCTAATCGGGGCAGGCTTAGCTCGTTAACCTGGGGTAAAGACTTAACATCTGTTTCCTTTTACGCATTTTAAAATGTTCATGTATTTATGTCATAGGGCTTTTAAAGACCCAGCGCTTTTCATTTCCACCACATTGATGTTCAGGAGACTTGAGTTTCTGTATAACAAGATGTTGTAATGAAAAAGTTGGCCTCAGGTGACCTGCGATGGCCTCGCATAGGTCAGGGATGTCCTGTGGATAGCGAGGTGTCCCGTCCTAGTGTTACAATTGGTGTTCCCCTGACACCCCCTGCATCAGCTCTTGTGAGGCGCACCTTTTCACCCTAGTTTTGCTGTTTGCTTCGTGCTTTGTGCTTTTATTGATGCGTTTAGTGTCATTTTGTTAGATTTTTTTGTTTTCCATCATTTGTATATTATGTTTGTTGGATGTATCGACTTTACCTGTTATGATTGAGTTAAAATTGACTAAGAATGTTGGCTCCAGACAGCTGGATCATGCAGTCATCGCAAACACATGGAAGTTCCGTGGATAGCATGATCAAGGTAGATATATTCTCATCTCATGATTGTCCTCTAGGGGCAGGCTGAACATTTGTTTTTATTACGCTTCAAAGCTTTTAGTACTTCTTAACCCTCGCCCTTTCCCGCCGTTTTTCACATTTCAGACTGATAGGAGGAGAGGGGTTGCCTCTAGTGTTTCTAAAGTAATAAAGATAGAGTTAAGCAGAAAACACCAGTGGATTGGTCTGAACGAGGTTACGTGGTTAGGATTGGTTGTGATGTTCTTAGGTCAATGATTGCCCATTATGCTCGGTCAAAAGTCAAAGTTTGTAGAAATCGCAGTCATTCAGTTTGTATAATATACCTACGGTGCTGTGCCTCGTAGTGACACAAAACCTAAACAATCGTGTTTTCTGGTCAATTCTGAGTAAAACGGCATATGTTTTTACGTGTTTTAGCCATATATTTGTGATACACGGCTTCGTTAATATAACAGTGTCGGCCCTGCCGCGCGCATTGCATGGCTTCGTTGATGCCGCGCAAGGTTTGGGGTAAGGGCAAGGGTTTTGATAGGTTTGTTTCGGGTAGGTGGAGTGTTCCTCAAAACCGCCACTCCGCGGAAACCAGAAAAGCTAGAAACACGTTTTTGGATTCAAAACACGCGCAGTGAATGCTCCATAGGCTAACAAATATTCGTGTGCGATTGCACAACATATCGGAAAGATATCCTCACAAACACCTCGGGGTCGCATTTCCCCCCTCCCCCATCAGGGCGACGGTTAATGTTTTACAATGGCCATTTTTATTCCTCTTTCCGCTCCGATGCCCAGCAAAGGGGTGGATGAATGTGGCGAGATAAAGTTGACATGGAGGCCTTTCGTGTGTGACCGCAGCCGCCGATTTGGCGACCAACTGGAAGACCTGTGCTTCTGGGCAGCATCTGGACTCACCACAATCCGGCGCCAGATACGCCGCAGCCCTCAAAACAAGGCACAGTCCGGTCGGAATCGGGCCGTCTCATAAAAGGTTAGTCATTTGTGCTTAAGGTCGTTCATTTGTGTTCAATATCGTGCATTTATACACGTTGTCCGAAGCTTGTCCTTGCGGCATTGCTGTGAAATTGAATGGAAGTTGAGAAAACGCTCATTTATGTCACATTTTACATATTTACACATTTTACACACACACACACACAGACACAGATATATAACATACATATATATATATATATATATATATATATATATATATATATATATATATATATATATATATATATATATGTATGTTTTCCAAATAATCCAACGTGCTCAGCATCGGTGATCTTTTTGGATTTGTCATTGACCTTGACAGTTTTGACTTCTTGTCAATGCTCCCTGAAAAGGACACCAAAGCTCATGGTGGAAAGAAGACATGCGTAGTTATTTTCCTCAACGTGTTGTCTTAGATCGCACATTTTCTAGGCAGCAGTTTTGGACAGAGGTGATCCGATGACATGTTTGCAAAATTCAATTTATCGTTCGCTGGACGGCTCCCGCCGAGTCCAGGGCCTGATCGTGAGCGTGGTCCCGAGCCAGGTCCTGATCTCACTTGCACCTGGAACGGCCGGTCATAGGAATGCACCGGCTGGAAGGCTGATTCGTTCACAGGTACTAACCTTACGAAGAACACGCGTAAGCGTGGAGTTGAGTATGTGCCAGGGTATGGGGAAAGTGTCTACAACTGATGTGCCGCTTGAACAACGCGACTGTAGGGGCAACGAAGAAAACACATTTCTCTGCTCGGTTTGATAAACATCTTGGCTCTGTATTTTTGGAATATGTGCAATGTACAGGGCTGGATTGCTAAAAGATCTTCCAAAGAAAGGAGCGGTGCAATCTAAAAACATGTACAGGAGTCCTTCAGTTACGCATCAACATATCCAGATATTTTACTGTGTCGTGACATTGTAAGGTTCGTATAACACTCGCGATCATAATCACAACATGGGACATTGTATATTGACAGCACAATCAAGGTCTTTATAGCGTTGTGTAACCAACACCTGGTGCGAAATTTAAGATCGATGACGGCCAGCATAACAATTATGAACTCGTGATCCAGAAAACCCAGAAACTGAAAGCCTTTTTTCATCACATCGAGTGTCCCAGTCTGAAGGAGTTATGTGGTTTATTCAAGACAGATGGCCTGGAATCTTAAATAGAGAGTGGTGTACAGGCCTATCTTCGTTCTGGATTTTAGGTCCATGCTTCCTGATCCTGGCTCATGTTCGCTGTGGACGTATTCAACGAAGTGGCGGCCATGCCGAAATTTCCTTTAGACTTGCTTCTGCGCCGGGTTTGATGGACAGACTGAGGAGCAGTCCACATCGAGCCTGCGTGTTTTGTGTGCTGAGCACGAACATTTGAATGCATTTTGATTGCCTTTGCCGTTGTTTCAGATGGTCTCTGCGCTCAGCCCACCCAGCGGACGGGGTCCACTCAGCGGACCCCGTCTTGCCCGGTGTTCCTAGCCGATGCAGCCATCTTTACGGGCCCTGAGGTGGTAGTTTCTGGTCAGTAGATAATCACTTTCGTAGGCATCTTTATGCTCTAGGGCATAAAAACATCCTCACGATGGTGCGTTAAGAACTATGATGCGAGTAAGACAGCACCAAAGGCTGTAATTCTTCGTCGTGCAGAACTGGGCACTGTACTGGGCCGCTGCACTCTACAGTGTACTGCTGGTGGCCGCGATGTACCTCTTCACCGCTTTACATGGCGCGTGAAGGTGCCGAGGATCCGCGGACGGCGTCTGTGCGTGTGGCCATTGATATGCATCCCTCTGGGAGTTGGATGGGCAGACTTGGAGTGCTGGTGTATTCACCAGGTGAATAGTTGGTGGCCGACAGCCCTGAATCGGGCATACGTGCCCTTATAATCCCATGTTGTAGGTATCAAAGCAGCATTGGCCAACCATGCACTTGTCTCTGTACTAGCACCGAGTGAGGTTGGTGGATGCCGATAATGTAGTGTAGATGCTGTTTGCCTTAACCACTGCACTATTAACCACTAACATGAATTGGTTAAGGCGCTGGCCTCGGAACCCAAAGGTCCCTGGTTCGCCTTCGGCCAGCGGCGTGTCGTGCTTCGGTCCGGACGGCGTAGGAAGCGCGATACTGATGGCCCTGGCAGTTCAGTGCTTCGTTGAATAGCCCAAACGTCCCACATTTCAAGGTATTCTTGTTTAGCGTGAATGAATGCCATGATGTAACCAGTTGCGATTGGTCTGTTCGCAGATGATGATGAAGACTCTATTGACGATCTGACGCACGTCCCACACGCAGAGACTAAGGTGGACCCGAACGAGGTGGATGACGAAACCAGCATCTGGCCGCTCTGCCTCTGGCGGTGTGCCAGGCACGCCGGGATGTTCCCGGATGTCGCGGAGCGCAAGCCATCGCCCTTTGCCAGCGGAGCGTTAGATAAGGAACGCAGTGTCTCCATTCAAAAGTCCTCCTGTAAAAGAGGGAAGTCATTCCTGAAACAGAATGTTTGCCCATATTGCAGCAAGACGCACACCAATTTCGCACGTCATATTTTCCGGAAACATGTAAGGGAACCAGAAGTAGTTCAGGCGCTTGCACTGCCAAAAGGCTCCAGGGCGAGGAGGAACTGTATTGAAAATATTATTCACAAGGGAAACTACAAGCACAACTTCACGGTTATCCGTGATGGGTGTGGAACCATCATTCCAAGGAGGCGTCCACCACAAGACGCGAAAGTGGCTGTGAAAGATATGCTGCCATGCGGCAAGTGCCAGGGCTTTTTCTCGAGGCACAACCTTTCTCGACACAAGTGCCACACTGGTGACAAAGCCGCGGCTGGAGGTAGAGTTCAGGCCCTGGGAAGGTGCATGCTGCCCTGTCAAAGGGATGCCGCAGTTGGACTGGAGAAGTCGATGGCAAACATGCGAGAAGATGACATTACGCTGGCCTGCAGAAATGATGGACTCATTTTGGAGTTTGGGTCCCGTTTGTTCGCGAGACTGGGTGATCAGCGTCATCAGCATGTGCACATCCGTGAAAAGATGAGACAGCTTGGGCGATTGGTCTTAGAGCTACAGCAATCAAGCCCAGAAGAGGGTCTTGCGTCGTTCATTCGACCATCGAAGTTCATGGAGGTTGTAGGTGCGGTAAAACAACTGGCGGGCGTCCAGGAAGGAAAGTATCACAATCCTTCGCTTGCTCTCAACCTTGGCTACTCGCTCGGCGATTGCGCGGTTATCCTGAAAACGCGTGCCCTCGCTAACGAAGACGCCTCCCTGAGGGCGGCTGCGGACGACTTCCTCCTAGCTCTACCGACGAGACTGGAAGCGGTACGTGTCTTCTCCTGCGCTTCACACTATCCACGAACGGAAATGGAGCAGACCTGTTGAGCTTCCCCTAAATGTGGGTGTTACGAATATCACAAAGGAGGTACAGGATGAGTTGGTACGAGCTCAGCGACTGTTGGACGCAGAACGTTCTTTTAAACACTATGTCAAGTTGTCTAAAGTCGCTCTGGCATCCATCATTTTGTTTAACCGGCAGAGGCCGGGAGAAGCGCCAAGGCTCACCGTGAGATCATATACTGAAAGAGACCAAACTGCCAATGAGGGAATCTTGCAGCACCTGTCTGCCTTGGAACGAAAGCTATGCCATTCGCTGGGATATGTAGTGGTTCGTGGCAAAGGAGGAGGTGATGTGCCCATCATGCTGACAGCCGCAATTCGAGGGATGCTTGACCAACTGATTTCAGCGAGGGAAGCGGTTGGGATCCCTCCCGACTGTCCGCACATTTTCGTGAACAGCGCAGCCCCAGATGCGAGCACGCTTAGAGGAAGCGACTGCGTACGGGTATTTGCGCAAAGGGCACGTGTGGGTAATATCACGGCCATGAAGGACAGAAAACATGCGGCCACTATGCTGCAGCTGCTACAGCTTAACGAAAACGAGATGGACATCGTGGCTCGTTTTCTAGGCCATGACATACAGCTTCACAGGCAGCTCTGCGCACTCCCCGGGAGGACTTTGCATGCTGCCAAAGTGAGCAGTACACTGATGACGATGGACAAAGGGCTGAGTGCTGTTGGAGAAAAGACCGTGGATGAGCTTAACCCCACCTGTGACGATATCGAGGGGAGTCCCGCCCCCAGCGTAAATGTGGACATGGACGACGACAGCAGCAGTGTCGCCCCCGACGACGTGAAGGCGAAGGGTGAGGACATCGACGAGATGGGTTTGAATTCCCATGCTGAGACAACAAGAAGCAGCTGAGGAGGAAGAGCTCATTGAAACAAAATTTAAAGGCAAGAGGAAAATTGTACCGTGAACTCGAACAGAAATGGAGGCTGTACGGAGACGCATGAAATTATTTATTTTGTCTATTAAATGCCCACCTAGGGACATTGGAGGAGTAGTCGGCACTGTTCCTGCGTGCCTGGAAGGACATGAAGTTCTGCACGCTTAACGCGATGATAGGAGCTCAAGCGGGCCATGGGAACGAAGTTCCATCGGAAAGCTTGAGGGCTCCACGCGTTAGATCCTCTTTTGCGTCGCGTCGCGGTGTCTGCTTTTGCGTCATGTCGTAGTGTCTGCTTTGCGATGCGGTTGTATAACGTGTTTGCAAACTGCATGTAAGAAACATTCTGCATATCTGAGTGTTTTTGATGGGCTGGCCTGCAGGGATTGAGTGGCTGTCCCAGCCTCCCCCCCTCCCCCAAAGAATGACACAATGGGAGAGCTCGCGTTTGGATAGCTCAATGCATGTCTTGCCAGAAAGCATAACGTGGTCTAACCTTACCCCAGATCACGATATCTCGGCATTCAGCACGTCAGGTTGTCATACCTCCTTACCATACCTTCAGGATTTCAGTTCTTTACGCTGTCAGATAGCAGTCGCCAATTCACCAAATTATCAATGTCACCAAATCGATAAAAGCCGTCTGGGAAAAATCCAGATGGTGTCTCATAAGAAAAATGCGAGAAAGCGATATTTGAGTTGACATGGCCTCAAGCCACTGGCAAGGGCGGAGCTCCTTCGCAAACAAATTCGGGGGTCAATTCCACATTTAGGAGCGAAAAGAGTCCCCGGAGTTAACTGGTGCTCCCCAGTTCTTTGGCCATCCAAGTTGACGTGTTCGTGGAAGGAAAAACTCAACATGACTTGGGGCACTAAAGCCCATAACAAGTGTGAATTTTCACGTATTGCCACTGACATCACGTGGTTTTCCCTCGAAGCGACGTCTCGGATGTTTGCTCGTCATTTTCCGGCAGACAATATATCATCTGTGTTGGTTTTCGACGAACGCACATCAGAGCTGAAAAAGCGTAACATCAGTCGTTTGCCTGGCTAAATGCAATTTGTAAGGTAGCGGAACTGTTGCAAATCGATTAAACTGAATGATGCCATACCTGTGGTGTCGATGGATTTCAATTGCATTGTTTGGCCTCACGAAATAGTTTGACGCGTCAGTAACCCGCATCAGGTTAGTGACGTCAAGTGTCATAGACTGACGGGTTAAGGGAAACACGAATACTGAAATATACCCGCCAGGATAGGAATTAGTAGCGGCGAGCTCCGAAAGGGTGCTCTGGTGCTTGTCAGGTGCTAGAATAGGACCCCGCCAGGCTCTTGACGGCTGGCTGCAGCCGTCGATCGGAAAAGCTGCTTCACCATGAAAGATCAGCTTAACACGCGCTTAGGTGGGACTCGACTTACCCCCCCCCCCCCCCCGAAGGCTTTCCGAAAGATTTTCGAACTGCTGGACGTAGCCGCGCCAAATTTTACGTACCTTTACGCAACTGAATAGCGAATTTTGGAGGTAAAAATTGAACGTGCACCTTATAAGACCGCCGACCTGTCATACCTTACAATGCCGCCGACGGCATGTCAAAGTCGGGCCAATGATTTAGCAAGGACAGTTTGAGCGGAATCGTTCAATCTAATGCAACAGCGAGGTGTCGGACGAAGCCATACACCTCTGAGAGAGTTTCTTACGCGATACAACACTTGAATTAACAAATTTGATTGACGCAGTGTTGGCGAGCAAACGGGCCGTCGCTGCCGGCGCGGCGGCGGCGGCTCCGCGAGGGTGTGAGCGGCTCCTTTGCCGATTGGTTCCCACCATCTGGAGCCCATAAACCCACGTGGGTTTATGGGGACACGCGGGCGGGGACGCACGGTCCCTGCCGAGCAGTCCACGTTCAGAGTCCGCCGGCGCGGCTTGACGCGAGCCGCGACAGCGTTTACGACGACGACGACGACGACGACGACTTCGAAGTGTGTGACGCCGCCCTTCCAACCCCTCTCTCATCTTTGTCTTGCAAATCTATTGCTCATAGAGACTCCTCCCTTTCACCGTATCAAGTCGATGGTCCTCCGGAAAACTAACGAACTCTTTCGCACGAACACCTTGGTTCCAGTATAAAGGTCAGACCGAGGTCAAAACCAGCTTGGTTTGTTACTCTAAAGCGTACCGTATGTGGCAGTTGCAGGCATTAATTTGGAATTTATTGGCAAAAGGAATCACATAGTACATCCTCCATGGACTTCTTAGAGGTGAGAATGGGTCACCTAAAATGAGCTATAGCAAATTTTGCTTTTAGGAACGTACCGCCTGGCGAAGTTATTGGCGTTTATTCAAATGCAAAATTCAAAGCAGTCTTATATGATTCTGGTCACCATGATTTTCTAAAGGTCAGCAAGGTCACGGACCTTAAATGAGCACCATTGACGTTTTGCATAGAACAGTTTAATTAGGTTTATGGTGGTTGCATGCGAAGGTCTGGGGGCAATTTGGACACCAATCTGTCTTATGACCTTGTTGAGTTTTATTCGATCCGAAGGTCATGGCCTAGTTATCTCAGATTCTGAGAACTGGATTCACGTGCAGGCCAGCACACCCCGTAAATTTGGTGTCTCGAACTCTTAGTTTTTGAGATCTTGGCTATATTAGCCCCCACCCCAACCGAGCGAACTGAACTTTACCGACCACGCCTGTATGTGTTAAAGAGACCCATCAGACAGGTGCCGACCCACGTGGCCGATCTCAGTAGGGCTTTTATTCCGGACAGCACCAGGGTACGTGACCGCTGTCCGGCTGGGCTATGCTGAGTGGTGATTGTCCGCTGTCCAGTCGACAAACCGAGGGTGGTCAGCTAAACAGTTTCCACGAGCGATTCCGTTGGTAATAAACGCCAGACAGGTGTCTTTCACTCGTCAGCCGTACAAGGTCCAAATGAGCCATGGAGATACACGGTCTACCGTGGCGGCTGTCACCTGACGTTACGCTGATTCCGACACTACGCAACGGTCCCAGCAGCACCCAGAGACACCATCAAGTACCTAACCATGAAGCGCCGCGATGGTGGCACCCAAGCTTACACGCATAGGCCACGGTGAAAATCGCACGCATGTTGTTACCGTGCCCTGAGTAGGCATTAGGAGGAGTGCTGCGATGGCACGCAGTTTCCCGTTCTATGGAAATGTAAACCAAGTTGCAACGTTTTGTGTGCCATTTTTAAAGCAATTAACTCCTCATTGACAAACGCAAAACATGCATCAGTGCCGAAGTTCCACTTGTCAGCCAATTCGCCACGAATGCACGGCGATTGGTGGATTTCGGTTTTGTGGGTTCCGGTTCTCTATGGAGTACCTAACTAAATGTCTATATCGGATCACCACGACTGCATCCACCCAGGGCACGTCAAGCTCGAGGCCGCCGGTCTCGGCAGGCCGACCCAACAGCGTTTCTGTCCGCCCTTCTGCACAGGATCGTACGGCGGTCGGCACCCAGCACGTACGATTGTCTCGTGCGCGCCGTTGCCGACAATATCCCAGGTTGCACTGCCTTGTCACACCCCTCGGGACAGGAGCTCACTCCATGCACATTGCACACGTCATAGGAAGCGCAGCTCATCAACCTAAGACAAATCGCTAAGGCCCAACCAGAACCTGGGCGCCTGAAACTGGTAGACGCACACCGAAAATGCACCGAAATGCGAGCGTGAGAGAACTCAGACATACCAGGCAACTACGCAGAGCACCGATCAATTAGCGGGCATCAATCGCTGTAAGGACTAACTATATTGAAAAGCGACGACTAAGTAGCCGTTGTCCAGCGCCCCCGGCTGGGACTGTTCCCATGCGCGATGGAAATCGAACGCGCGACGTGCGCGATCAAGCCGGCTACGAATGATGGCGCTCTCGGTTGCGAACAGCTATGCACAGGCTACGAATAGTGTACCCGAAAGTGATTTTAAGACAATGCTCCATATGTCAAAATATTTAAGCACCTATCAGATATGAGGAGGTAAGCCCATATGGAACAGTTAGTGTACTTTGAAGTAGCAAACACTGCCCTAGCCAACACAATTTCCCTATTTGTTAAATGTGCTCAATACGGTACCGTGTGATCACGTTGTACCTTGCACAACAATGATTGAAAGCCATTTCACGGCCGTAATATCTGGATGCGTGCTCACGAATGCCAGGTGTAAACGACTTGGCTAGGACAGTTTTCTTTACTTTGACCGCCGTGTGGCCAATTGCACGGCAGAATTGTGATCACCTTATGATGTCATGCATGCCTGGGTCACCTTAAAATGTTCTGCCCGTGATAGTTTGCACATCTTCGCGGACGTGCAACTCAGAAGCCAGAGGTGCTAATAAGGGCAGGGATGTGAACTTCACCGAACGATTTCCGAGGTGACTTTCAGATCAAACCCCACATACAAATGTGGTACACTTCCTTTCAGCCTTAAAGTACACGTATCGTCGTTATAAACTAGCTCTAGTTAACGAGACCGAGTCAGTGCTATGTTTTAGCTGGCACCTCTTCAATTCATCAGATGAGGAAGCAGTACAGCTTAATATTTCGAAATAGGAACTAGTTGAAAACGTATAGGGTGTATGACGTGCATATGACGTCATACCTGCTGGTCCCACTCCGTTGTATCCTACAGAAATTGATCCCTTATCGGTAGAGGTAACGAATGCTGGGCATCGCACCAGTCGAGTCCTCAGTAGTACCGATATTTTATTGTCTAAATTGTATCTCATGTTTGAAGGATAATGATAGTGGCTTTCACTACGCGATGCTCCAGCGGAGTGCCCATCTGGGAGGGCTTACAAACATTGCGTGTGTGGATCCGAGCGTATGTACGTGCGTGTTTCCGTGTGCGTGTGCGTGTGTGTACTCGTATGCAATACATGGATCAATGCTCATATGGCCAACACCAAGCTGCCATCTATTTGCCGGTGCAGCAGTCTTGCTTGCTAAGTTTTTGTACCCCAAATAATGGCATTTTGGATTAGCCCAAAACTATCTGGTTACAACAAGAACATGCTGTTTTTGCAACTTTATTCAGTTTATTTAAGGTATTGTTGAAATCAAGGCGTGTGTTCCCTACACAAAAACAACACGGTGCGTCGAAAGGCACGTTATCATGTCGATGGTCAGAACTTCGTCCCCATTCGATGAATCCGCACCTCATGGCCAAGAATATGCTCTACAGGACAAGTCACTGCTAGACAATTTCTCTGACTGGTACTCCTCCCCCCTCCCCCCCCAGCTTAGTGGGAAACTACGTCCCCATGACGTCATCAAGTTACGCTAGACGAATGATAGCGTCCATACACATGGCTTACACCCCAGCC